TCAGGACGACTTAGTAGAACGCACCTAGTCCAAAGTCGTCTGCCATAGTAGTTGTCATGATTCCCAGCATTAGACAATGGACTTATTACATTCTCAAATGTTTCGCCAGCATCGTAGTCGGCATCATCAGTGAGTTTACCATTCGCCTCGACAAATGTTCAGCCGAAAACGATTAAACTATCACTCCTTTATCTGTCCTGGCCTTCCATTCACTCAAGCAGCATCTCAAGTGGATTTCTAGGACATTTTGGCCATAAAGCGGTTTGCTTATCCGTCTACCCGGCTTACTAACTGTCAGGCCCCTAAAGTTGTACTGGTTTATTCGACACGGATATCACTCACTGATAACGTCTTCGCTTGATTACCGAAAACCTGCTGGTCTTGCTTTATTCTTGTTTTCCCTGAATTTGCTTAGGCAGTAGGTGAAGTTATCGCTAACTCTACCTTCCTCCAATCTCCTGTTCATTAAATTTTTCTCCACAGGGATGTCAATGGCCTCTCTGATCTTCCGCTTCCTTGTGTTGTCACCGTATGAGGCTCTTCCTTTTGTTGCCTTCAAATTGATCTAGTGTCGTCTGTGCGATGTGTTCCGCTTGTTCTGATCTTTCGGTATCCATTTTCATGCACAGCCTTTGATGTTCCTTCATTGTTGTGCTTATTTTCTCCCTGTTTCGCCAAAATATTTCTGTTCGCAGGCGCCGCATGATATACACTAAGATCCTGAACAATCCAATTTGTCTACCCTTTCATGTTGCGTTGGTAGGCTTGTGAAAAGTGTTGCTTTCTCTTGCTCGGCCACCTGAATATTACATTTACTCAATATTGGCCGTAGTTTTTGAGTTAGTTCGCAGGAAGGTAGGAATATCCACTTTGGTGAGTCCTTCATCGTCCTTATTGTTCTTTCATGGTCCCTGATCGGCTTTTCACGGTCCGTATGTTACTTTTTATCACTTCGATTAGGTAGCCATTGCCGAGGAATATCCTCGTCCAAGAATTCTACATCCGTTAGGCATAGGCTTCGGATGATCATGCTCCTTATTGTTCCTATTATAGTCTATAATTGTGACAGGACCGGAAATTGAGTATTATCCTAGCATAGGACTTCTTTCTGAACAATTTCTTTTTAAACGTCCTATTAGAGGTTATTGGTATGAATTATAAAGACAAGTACAAAGATATTCATACCTGAAAATAGGCTTGATTTGACCAATCCCCAAACCAGTTTAGCACGCAGCGATTAAAGAGGGCAGGCGAAGTGGCGGCTCTATCTTTCAATCCATCTTCAGAGGGGTTCATGGTGAAAACCACGTGGAGATTTCGGCATATCTGTACAGTGAACCATTTATAGAGCTCTTCATGACTGTCAACCATCAGACCATCACGTGCAGCACCTTCTTTGCACTGAGTCATAAGTGCAGAGAACTCATCGCCCTCAAATAGACCAGGGACTTCGCCATTGGCCAAAAGAGTGTTCATGCGTTCCAGGAAACTCGAGTCCATTACATTAGACTCATCCATAATGAAAGTAATTTTCTCTCCTTTGCAGCCGGATCGACGCAAAACATTACGAAGGTCATCGTCAAAATCATCTGCACTATATTTGTTATGCACTTTCACCTGCAAAAAGAGGAAAGTGGTTAACCAGATTTAATTAGTGCTAACTACG